AACAAAATCAACCATGCCCTAGCGGGGTGGAGTGTGATATGAAAAATAGGGGTGCTCATTGTCCAAATTTAATATGCTTTAAAAACAGCCTGCTGAGCCAATCAAACAGTTTTGATTTTTTTTCAAAGAACTTTTTCTATTTGATTTTAGCTACAAATTTTTATCATTGCGGATATTTGATTGCGCACAAACATGGTCATTATTTTTTGTCTTCAATAACTTTTGTCATACAATGGTTGCGTTTTCTTAAAATGTCTCAAGAATGTAACTTTTAATAATGGTATTTTTTTGGAACTTTATTTTGTGCAAGTAGCAGAACAATGATGTAACTTTCAACAATGGTTCTATTTTGAACTTTACTTTACGCAAGTAGTATATCAGTAAGAAGAAAATATGTTTTCCATGAAGTATGTAAATTAACTTATTTGGAATGTCAATTATTTGTTTGCTGCCTGGTGATTTGATTTATGGTTCTGATAAAGGTTCTGTAATTTTTTTTGTGTTGAGTCTTTTGCACTTTAATGTATGGCAATTTTTCTAGATATAATATTTTATTATAAGGAGAGAGCATTTTTATATTTTGAGATGCTTGAGTTTGTCGAGGTTCTTGTGTACGATAATCTTGTGTGTATGGTGCAAAAATATCTGGTTGATAATACTCGTCATCATCTGATGATAATTAGTTTGTATAATAGGGTGTTTGTTGTTTAATTCTATTTTGTTGGAAAAAGGGTAATTTTCAGTCTGATCTTGTGAGATATGTGGATAGTCATGGAAGTTAACTGAATTCGTTGATGTAATTGGAAAATTCGACTTTTGTGAAGTTAAATGATTTTGCGTTTTTCTTCGGGGAGGATGAGTTGTTTGTGATGGGTTTACATGATTATAATTGTGTTCTGCAAAATTACTTCTTGTGAATGTTTTCCGCGTTTTTAATGGTTTCGTCATTGGTCTATATGTCTGATAGTCCATATGTGAATATTTTGGAGCAACCGAGGGTTTAACCGCAGATGGCAATGTTACTTGTGGTAATGTTGAATTTTTGGGTTTTGGCGTTGTGAGGTTTGGATGTATTGGTGAAATACTTTGTTGTGTAGTTGTTACTATTGTTTCAACTATTTCTTCATTTATAAAATGTGATGGTGTTTGAATATCCCGTTGTGTAAGATTTCTAGTTCCATTTAGATTTTCCTGTTGTACAATAGTTGAGTTTAAACTATTATTTTGTCTTCTATCGGGTAAGAATGTTTTGTAATTTAAAGGTGTTGCATCTATTGTAAGTGAAAATATTTTTACATAGTTTTTATGATTAGATATTGAACTGATTGCTTGACTTGAGATGTCTATTGGGATGTTCAAGAATAGTGGATGAGATCATTCAGGGTCCCAATCATAATCTGATTGTTCTGCAATGACATTGTCATCATTGGTACTTTGAGGTCTAAAACTTTTTCTTGCTTGTACAATTAATTCAATACTATGTGTGAAATAGTCGATTATAAGACATGCTAAAATTTTTTGTAAATCGTGTTCAACATTTTGTGAAATTTCATTACTTGAAAAATTTTCACGGATTGTGTTTAAAAATGCTGAGAATGCGGCAATTTCATTTCTTACATTCGTCTGACCTGATGTTTGAATTGGTGACGTACTTTGTTTTTCTGTCTGTTTTAGTATGGATAAGTAACTATATATTATTGCAAAAACATCGTTAGTAAATATTGAGTTTGCTCTCTCTAAATTCTGGTGTTGTATGTTTTTAATGTATTCTGTGAATACTTTTGAAAGTTCTATGTCGATGTCGTCTGTTTGGATAACATATTTACCATGAAAATTGATTGTGGTTCTGAGTTCTTTGGTGTAAATTCCATATTGTTGTGTTAGGTTACTTATTCTTTTTAAATAATGATCGACAATTTGTCTTTTGATTTTTATTTCTGGGAATTCGGCTTCGCATCGGCTAATTCCTTGTTCGAATAAATTTGCGATTAGATTATTGCAAAATTGTATTTGTCCTCTATCATCAGTGAGTGAATTGATGAGAAATGGAAAAACAGAGTTTTCGTCTGGGCTTTCGTCACTTTGAGTTTGGCTCATTTTTTCGCGTTCTGAATGTTAGTGCGTAATGTTCAAAACGTCTGATTGGTTGATTACAATTGTATAGAAGTCCTGGTTTATTTTTGTAGATCTTTTTTTTTGTTCTTTTTCCTTGTTTTAATGAATGTGATGTGGCTTCTGAGTCGGAAAAATATAACTGATCATGGACTGGGTAGTTTTTATTTATTGTTTCTTTTAGTTTGTAAAGTGCTTCTAATTTACTGATTTCTGATTCGGAGACTGCGTTTCTTAATTTTAATGAATGTGATGTGGCTTCTGAGTCGGAAAAATATAACTGATCATGGACTGGGTAGTTTTTATTTATTGTTTTTTTTTAGTTTGTAAAGTGCTTCTAATTTACTGATTTCTGATTCGGAGACTGCGTTTCTTCGCTTTGAAAATCTTTTTCGTGTAATTTGTCTTTGTTTGCTTAAAATTTTTCTTTTTTTTGTTTGTAGTTTTGTTCGAATATATCCAATTGCTTGTTTGTGCGGGGTGATTACGAGATCGTATGTTTCGTTGTTTATTTCACGATTGTGTAGTACGATTGTTTGTTTATTTCCTAAATTGTTAAGTGACATAAGAATTAGGATGAAGGATGCAAATTGTTATTAGCGATTTTAATTTCCTAGACTGTTAGTCCTTACGAATTTTTGGTTAGCCTAACTTGGGTCTTCGATTCAGAGTTGGAGAGAAAAGTATGTATCGATTCCGAAGAATGATAGTTACTTTCTCGTGGCTATTCTAAGTTAAGGTGTTAATTTACTTAATCTTACTTAGGGGTAGTAATTGTGTTTAAGGGTTGGAGAGTAGTAAATCGATCCACAAGGTTCAGGTATAAATAGAACGCAAGTAGTTAGTTAGATACTATTTGAAACTTACTAAGATTAAGATTTAGCCTGGGTCAATTTAGCCTGGGTCAATAAGATTTGAGGTCGTTAGACACTTGATAATTGGGTGGGGGAGAACAAAGTTATTCTATATGATCCAAGGATAAGCCTTGAAGATCAGAATAAAAATTTTACTTGTATAAAATTGATTAAGTTAGATATTTAATTGAGATCCAAGGAAAACCTTGATGATCTAATTTTAGATTGAATAATTTTAAGTTAAATTAAGACAAAAATTAGGATAAGCCTTTAAGAAAAATTTAAGTTTAATTGATAGAAAGGTTTAGTATTTTATGATATTTTGGTTTTGATGATTGCTGTTATGTTCAGGTGATGAAGCTGGAGATGACAGGATGATTTGTATATACTAATAATTTATGATCATGTTTACTAATTTTTTCTTTTATTTTCAATAAATATATTTTTGAGATATCTTTTTTAAATTTTACTGCAGTTTTGGAGGAAACGATTTGAGGTGTTTTAATCAATCGTTATTTTATAATAGTAAATTTGGTTTAGCGCCTGAAATGATCATTGAAGAATTTTCTTCAAGGATTTTATGTTTGCAAATGAAAATCTAAATTCATTGCTAGTAAAATTCTAAATATAAAAGTTTGCGTTGGCTTTTGCCGTACGACCATGAAACTTAATGGTAAGTTTCTCCGTAGTCGTAGATCGTCTCTTGTCCGAGGTCTTCTTCCAATACCGGGTAGTTCTCGTATTGTACGGAATAGCGGCTCTGATCTATTGAGTCGTAGAGACATTTCGATTAAATTATTGTCATGTAACATTTCGAAAATGTTTTGTCTAATTCTAATCTATCTTGTTAGTTCTAAGCTAGTTTGTTTTTAAGGTCTCATTTGAGACTTATGGTCGCACCAGATGAGTTATGTTCTTAGGTCTAACTCATAGAGTAATTTCGGATAGGGTACACCGTCTGCTCGTCACGCTAACTTATTTTTGGCCGGATAGATTCGTGCAACTTCTTAGTCTAATACCGATCCTAATCTTACCTTTATATCTACTAGTCTCAGGGTGTTTAACTAGTCTCTGCTAGGCTCAATAGATCTGGCTTATTGCGATTGCTAAAGATCTCTTGGAGAGGTAACTAATTTCTAAGTTAAATTCAAATCTCTCTGGTGCTGAAATTACTAGTAATTTCAGCACTTAAAAATAAGTGGGTTGTTAGTCAGATGAATCATGATTGGTTAATATCAAATATTTTGTAGTGATAAAATATCTAATTTACAACCAATGATAAAATGTAGTTTAGATCTGGTTCCAATTAGTTTATAAAAGTTGATATTTTTCTGTTTTTCTGCTCTTAGACCCATTCTGCTCTTAGTTCATTCTGCTCATTGACTGGCCACCTTTAAATACAATTCTGAGAAAAATAAAACTGAAATTTTTTTAACAATTAAACACACATCAGCTGTTATTTCCCAAGTTTGGGACAAAATGGAGGTCAAATTTATTCCGGATCAACCATACAATCTCTCCCCCCCTTTAGTTGTTCGTATTCACACCGCCGAAAATTAAAAACCTATTCACAACGCCAAAAAATAAGAAACTACTCACAATGCCGAAAATTAAAAAGCTCAAAATTGTTTCCTGAAAAATCCATATTTTCTCTCTTCGAAATCCTATTGGGGGGACTTTGCGGTTAATTCTTTTATTGCTTCCAATATTTATTGGGACGGCCTTGCTAGTATTTGTGGAAAGTTCAGATGCTAATACATTTTTGTCGTCTAAATGTCTTGTCGCCTTAATTATCCTGTCGCCTCATTTGCCTAGCTACAGTTATACCCGCCTCGAATAATCTGTGATAGATGTATAGAACGGCCTCAGAAGAGAACTAACCATTTCTGAGAAATGCATTCAAGAAGTAAAAACGCATACAAAGAAATTTATGACACGTTTGAAGCTAATTTAGGAAAGACCATTTTCACCTGTTCATTGTTAGGAAAGACCATTTTCACCTGTTCATTGTTATAAATGCGACCGTGTTTTTTTGCAGGTCTCAAAAAGCAGCTCAGTTAAATAACTTCCTCTATACTTCGTTATCCTCAGTGTGTTCATAGTCAAATTAATTCCCTATATTATTTTTTGTTTAGCTATAACAAACGTAAGTAAAACAAAATCCGATTAATGCTCATTTTATACCCATATTCAGGGACTCGCAAAATTAATTGCCATAATATGGAGCACTGAAAATCAGGCGCGGATCTAGGATTTTCTTGAGGAGGGGAGGGGCGGATTGAGAAAAGTTTGACGAGGATTGACGAAAACAATGATTTATTTACAATAAGAAAATGAACAAAATTAAACAAAATTGAGTCTTCGATTTTTTGCGGCAAATCTGTCGATGACCTCTTCGACATTGATTTCTACATCTTTGTGAATGGAAATTAGCGCCAAATTTGAGAGTCGGTCCTCCTTCATGTTGGAGCGGAGGTAACTTTTTAGTAGTTTCATGCTCGAAAAAGAGCGCTCAGCAGTGCATACCGTCACTGGGAGGGTAGCACCAATCAGGAGCAAAGTAAAAATTACTGGCATTGTGGCTTTGTGACACACTCTGAGTGCAGCTGTAAAGGTTTCTGGGGTATCGGTGTACAGGGGGAAGTACCACATATTTTTCCAAACTTCGAACTCGCTGGGGAAGTCACCATCTGGAAGTATTCCTTCGTATAACTGGTCCAGATCATCAAAATCTTCCTCCTTTGCATCCTTCTCACTTATCCAACGGGGTAGCAGCTTGCACACTTGGGCACAAGAAGAAGCTGCTCCAACGAAGCGTTCCTTGAGATCCATCAGGACAAAGTCAAGAAAAGGCAAGTAAACGGTCTGTCTGAAGTGATCATAAGCCGATGATGCTACAGGAGGTCTGCCTCTTCTACCCTCTATTTGAATATCGTCCAGCTTTGCGGCGTCAGAATGGACTTTTTCGTAGCGGCCATTGCTTTCACCATCGCGCCATTGTTGAAAGAGGTGACGCAAGTTCCGGATGTGATCCATTGACTGAGGCAATTCTAGCGAAGGTCCCAGAAGAGCAATGCTAGTAGCTTTAGTCGCCCCCAGCAGGTGCTTCATAGACATCAGGGCAATCAAGAACTCTGACCGCATCATGCTAGCCAGATAAGCACGGCAGTCAGAAGCACACCTTTCCCCAGGCCAATTGCTGATGTCTTCTAGTGTAGCTTCAATGGAAGGCTTCAGCTGGATAAAAGTCAGAACAGCATCGTGTCGTTCAACCCATCGAGTGTCAGACATCTTTGGTCTAATGGAGTATGTCAGGAACTGGTATCTTTCCAGGTGCTGGGGGCCTAAAGTTCGCTTTTCTTGTTTTCCTTGTTTCGTCACAAGTTCGTATGGCCAGACTTGCAGTGGGGGTTTGTTGGGGTTGTCCAGCAGTGCAAACATGATTTCCCTGTTCATGTCCAGTGAGCTGAAGTTGTAGATGCCGACGTCAATGTAGGATGGAGAGTGTAGAGCTTGCCCAGAGAGCGGAGATATAGAACTAATTGATGAAAGAGATTCATCTTTAATGGTGGCTAAAGGAGCCAGTGGCTCTAAGAGCCTTGAAGGTCCAGGTATGGGCGTCTCAGGAGTGGATGATCCAGGGTTGTCAGGCTCAGGAGTGGTTGCAGTGGATGAAGGTGGTGACTTCTTGGGTCCACTGGTGAAGAAAGCCTTGAGCGTCTTGAAGCCAGAAGCCTTGGAGTCCTTGGGAGCAGTCCGCTTTGACATCTGGAAGGTTGAAGTTGAAGTCCAGGGTCCAATCCAGAGTGCATTGTGAAGTCCAGCGAAAAAGATTTTAGAATGAGCTAGGTAGTTTTGAACGGGGTATATATACTGCGAATGAGGCAGGTTGACAGGTACCTGTTAGCAGGTACCTGCCTCGAGTCAAAAAATGAGTCCAATTTGAGGCCTCAAAAAAGACGCATTTTCACACCTTGAATTTTCACACCTCAAAATTTTCTTTGATATAAAGGCCAAAGGCGCCCTTTGAAAAAAAATTAAGTGAATTGTTCAAAGGGGGGACTCTTTGGTAATTGTTACGGTCAAACTCCCGAGGGGGGGGGGGGGCGTCCAACACTAAAAAATCCGCCCCTGCTGAAAATAAATAATTGCCCTACTACTCAATTCAAAATAAATTATTTTTATTTTGGTGGGAAGAAAATAAATAATTACAATAATTGTTTTTTTTCGGAAAAATATAAATATTGCAACAATTGATCACAAGTCAACATGATTAGATGCCAGTTGAGATACAATTTTTGCGTCCCAAAATTTTTTGTTCACAAATAGGAACAATTCCGCTTCCAAGTGCATAGGCGACATGTTGTGCCGTAGATAGCCGACGTTCAAAATAACAGTATGCTTCGTTGCTTTTGGCGCCACGCTATTGGCTTGCCGCAGCCAAGCAATTATTTTAACAATAATTGTAATTGCTTCCCTAAATAATTGCCCTAACGATTGTCGAAAATAAATTATTCTAATTTCCAAACAACGAAAATAAATTATTTATCAAAAATAATTTCCCTACAATTATTTTTGCGGAACCCCTGCCCATATTTCGCCCAAATTTTTCCCTATCACAAATGTTAGTAATCGACTCTGAAGGCTCCCTTATGCTGTTAACCCTTGTCGAGGTCTGCGACTAATTATTCGACTTGGTCGGTCGGGCCGGTAAGTTCCGCGACCGAATATCTGAGGTAAAGATATTTCGCGCCTTCTAAGTGAAGTAACGCGAAGGAGGCGGAGCTTGTTTTAAAATTCTGCTGACTATCAACATCGGTACACAAAAAAACTGCTAAGTTCTCTCACAAGACTGCTCGCAAAGCCCTGAAGATTTCCGAAGGTGAAGCCCCATTTGCATCAAGGTTTCTTTGTGCCAAAATGAAAAATCGGTCCAATTTGTACCAAAATTATTCAACTCGGTTTCTGATTGGACGAATTCTGAGCCAAGGGGGTCTTATGCACAAAACGGCCCAAAATCAAAATCTTTGTAGCTTTAGCTAAAATTTATGCGGCAGAATTTGATTGGCTAATATGAGCCAATCAAATTCAAGCAATATGGTCAGGCATTTCAACCAAATGTTCCAGCAGAAAAAATAATAGCCGAATTTACCAAAAAAAAGAATCTTATTGTTGTCAAATTATTGTCAAATTATTGCAAAGCCGAATATTCTAAGCTCTTGGTTTGAAGTCAACGGTGGGCGCGCTTCGGGCGCGTTATCGCTTCGCGGCAATAACCGGCTCTAATTTTCGTATAGAGTCCTACTATATGTTGGCAAGCTTTCAACACGTAGGTGGCGGTCAGAATTATGCTGTTTAGTTTTCTGCTGCTTGAACAGAAAACTAAATTAATAATTTCTTGGCTGGGTGTTATGCATGCACTAAACGGCCCAAATTACGTATTTCTAAATCTTGATCATAAATCAATGTGATTCAATCTCATTGGTTAATTAGCCAATCAAAACAAACAACATGTGACATTTCATTTAAAATTTAAGGCATATAAGATTATGGGCCGAAATGACCAAAAAAATAAAACTTTTTTTTTGCCGGTGGAGCCATTTTACTGAGCTTTTCCCGTCTGGGCAAAATATCACAAATACATCACTTTATTTCATCAATTGACTCAAATAATAAAATAATTTCATGTTTTTTTTTGTAAAATTTTGCCCAGACGGGAACAGTTCAGTAAAATTGCTTCACTGGCTGTAAATTTACATCTATCTGGTCAATTCGGCCCATAATCTTATTTACCTTGAAACTTAAATGAAATGTCACAACATGTTATTTGTTTTGATTGGATCATTAACCAATGAGATTGAGTCACATTGACTTATGATCGAGATTTAGATATACGTAATTTGGGCCGTTTAGTGCATAACACCCAGCCAAGAATTTTTTAATTTAGTTTTCTGTTCAAGCAGCAAAAAACTAAACAGCATAATTGTGGTGTGGCCGCCAACAGAGCTTGCCAACAGATAATAGGACTCTATACAAAAATTAGAGCCGGTTATTGCCGCGAAGCGATAACGCGTGCGAAGCGTGCCCACCGTCGACCTCAAAACAAGAGCGTAGTATATTCGGCTTTGTAGTCGTTGGCCAATTGGGAGGCATAGCAAAAAGCAGCGCGATCCAAGGGCAGATTGGGTCCAAAGGCAGAAAAACCAAAAAACATCAACTTTTATTGGTCTATAAGGGCTTGATAAAAACAATTTTTAGAATCGTCAATAATACCAAGATGTATTAAATAAAATGTTGTTTAAAATTTTTTACCAACTCGATTAAATTACTCAAACTATGCATAAAATGTTAGTTTCTCTGGTAATATTGACAATTCTTATAGTTAATTCACCGATTAGCTGTTAAAAATTATTAGCCCATTCAAGGGTCTAGGACTATAAGCCGACGAGACTTCAAGCCGAAGGGACTTCAAGCCGAAATTGCAGCATTACAAGCACATCAAAACGCTCAATTTTCATCAGTAGAAAAATGTTTTTCAAAAATTTAGGCAATTTTAGTTCAGGATTTTGAAGTGTATAAAAACACATGAAAAAACTATCAGTATTGTTTTAATTTTTAATATTCCTAAGCATCAATTAGAGACTTAAAAATTATGAAAAAAGCCAAAAACTTGTTAAGAGAGCTCATAAAATTGAGAAATTCTTCAAAACAGTTTTCAAAGTAATCATGTTTTATAAGTTTTTTGACAAAAAAATTCGGCTTGAAGTTCCTAATTATGCGATTTGGCTTGAAGTCCCGTCGGCTTGATACCCGGTACCCCCATTCAAAAGTTCGTTTAAAACTGTGGTCCGTCACTCGAAGTATACTTCAAGTGGGTAAACACAAAAAGAAAACTGGGTGCCAGACATAAAGCCGACGGGAATTCGAGCCGAACCGTAAAATTAGGGATTTCAAGCCAATCATTTTGTCCAAAGTTCGAAAAAATGATTAATTTGAAAACGATTTTTAAGATGTTTTCAATTTCATGAGCTTTGTAGAAATTATTAGTTTTTTCATAATTTCTAGAACTCTAATTGTTCCGACTTTCGAAGAAAAGAGGATATTTTTACGCTTGAGGTGGTTTTTTTAATCAATCACTTTTCGGTG